AGTTGCCCAGTATAGTCCAAAATGACAGGGCAGATTTTTTGTCGCAGTCCACCCTTGTCTCTATGGGTTGTGATTGTCTGATAAACTAAAATAAATCTACTGCCAAGATATAACTTAGTTCTGGTCTTTTCAGTGTTTTCTTCTAATAACACGTTTAGGTAATTTTCAGCAACTACGTACAAGTCATTAATCAAGAAGATATTTGATGCTGGAGTATACGGATTCAAGATTTATTTGTTTTCGGATGCAGCTGCAAGTTACAGGAAGTTGAAATAGTTTTAAAGTTTTAAAACCTTTAGCTGATGAACTGTCTCAATCGGAAAACATCAAGAAATATTCTTCCTCAAACAAACTTCTTCATTCTGTTGTTGAATTACATTTTGAGTAACTAAGTAGTTTTTTTTATATTCGTACTTCACCTAAGTATCTGATTTTCTGAATACTTTTCCCTATAACAAAAATATCTTTATGTTCTACTTTCTTATAACTGTCTTGCTACTCTGGTTATAACGAATGGAGGATGCTATCTATATCTTAATACTTAATACAAAAAAACAACAACCCTGTGCTACTTTGATTTAACAGTAATTGGGTCCATGTGTTTTCTTTAAATTCACATGTTAGATGATTAAAGAAAGAAGTGAATGTTTGGTCTGGTTATTTGTTTATTTATTTGACAACCCCGTTATGACTTCAGCTTCTTCCTGCGGATTTGCCACATTTTAATTTACATTTAATTCCTGTGTAGGATTGACAAAGTACCTTTGAAATGAATTAAATTCATGTTCTTACCTTTTTCAAAGTTTCGTCTCATCTTGGGAACCGTTTGAACACAGTCCTTTATTCAGCAGGGAATAATCTCCATTTAATGCAAAAAGGAAAAAAGCATTTTAAGTTTTAGAATAATTTATTCCAATTATGTACAACAGAACATTTGAAAATGAAGAAATCATACAGGGAAACAATTCTTGTACCTTAAGTTGGTCCTCTTCCATAAGCAGAATGAAAGAAACCCCTAACTTAGTTTACACTCCTACTGTATTCCTAAAATTACCCTCCCTAATCTCCATCAGACCTAAAGTCTAAGTTCACATTTTCCCGTATCCATCTTTAGACCACATCATGTCTACATAAGGCAACAGAAATACAGAGAAAGCAGTACACAAATAACATTTACCTCATCTATGTCTAACAGTATAGTTAACATTAAGGAAAAACAGACATCTAAGGGTCTCTGTAGCATCTGAAGACCAGCATGACTTACCCACTTAAAGTAGTTTATCTTCTACCATTAGAAATTTTTAACATACCGTAAACCCCCCCCAGAAAGAATTGTTTATTTTAATGTTTATTTTCTAGAAACAAAAGTACCCAAACTCACCATCCGTTTCTCCTTTCGCCTAAGTGAATTTCTAAGTAAAAAATGCTTCAGTCACTCTCGTTTCACAACTTCATGTTAAAGAAACTTCCTCTCGTCTGCTGTCATGGTAATTCGCCAAATAAGGACTCTCGTTGATGCCTTTTATAGTTGTTATGCATGCAGTGGTAGATTACTAACTTACACCACCTTTTTCAGAGTTTTAACAAACTCAGAGTATGTAACAACTGCTTTTTGAGACAAGCCTCTGAACTAATCTCCCTGATGATATCTTGGAGGTTCTGGCAGCAGCTTCACCCGAGATGCAAATAGAGGAAAACAGATCAGAACTTGGAGACTCACAGCAAACAACCAACCAAAGCTTCCTGTTTAAACTATGCATAAACATAAAGAGCCTTTGTGAGGCAGTGTTTCACTCACAACTCTAGATGCAATAAAGGGGCGTCGCTTCTGTTAGAAAAAAGTAAAGGTCATCATTTTATTTGTATTAACTTACAGACATTTGCCCGGCTAGGTGTCATGATTTTATCAAGAGCTCGAACCCACATGCAGATAAAGCAATCCAGAGAGACAAGGGAAAAGGTTTAACTTTAAATTTATTCTCAAACTTGAAGAGGAGGAAAGGTTGGCGCACTCACGTTTCCAGAGATTAGGTTTACTTTTAGACTCCAGTAGGTGAGGAATGTGTTCCGGTGTTTGTCTCATATGGAGGAGGGCGGACAGGGTTACCCAGAATGTGGTTGCTTGTAGATGAACAGAGAAAGACTGATAGCCACTCAATTTTCCTGCGTTACTTGAACAGACTGTTGTGCAGATTAATCCCTTGCTCAGTGTGAAGCTCAAACGTTTCCTCAGGGAAAAGTGGATCCAAACCTCCGGTTTGTATCCTCAGCTCAGTTTGAAGCTCAGTGATCCTTCCAGGGAGAGAAGGTCCAATAAACCCAGTTTGCAGGATGACTTCCTCAGCTTAGCTAGAGTATCCAAAACTGGCAAACACTCTGGCGTCGAGGTAGTGGCAGTCAGCAGCTTAAAAACACTCCGTTAACGAGGTAACCCCTTACAGGTGTGTGAGGAGGAGAATCAGAACCAGGCGCCGCCTGGTGGAGGAAGGAATACAAAAACACAGACCTCAAAGACTGGAGTCCTAACACTAGGAATGTTGTGTTGTTTTAAATTCAAACAGGGAGAGAAAATGTTACTCACAGGGAGATCAATACCCACGATAAAACTAAACAAGGAACTGTCATGCTTTATCATGTGTAATTTTCTGACCCCTCCTGATTCTCCTTTGAAATAAAAACATAAAAACAGAAGACAGAAATTTTCTTAAAGAGTTAACCACAGACATTCGGGGAGTGAAATGATCTGTCTGGGTCCGCTCTCTTCTGTAGAAGCATTTTTGTGTTGCTTGCTTTCTAGGACAATAAGGAGGCGTTATCAGTAACCCTAAAAGCCTGGTGCCGTGAGCCGGATCCCAACATTTCCACTTGTTGACTAGTGGAGCAAAGCGCTGAAAACCACCGGTGGTCAGAGTCTAGGACCTGACGGGAAAGTCCTGGGGGATAACCTTCTCACTGGGGCAGGGTCATAGGTTACCTCCTTTCACCAACAAAGGATTGACAGGATCCGACCTGGAGAGAACCAACCAAACTAAGTAGATGTTAAGAAGGGCGGTCTGCAAAGGTAGACGGGTGATTAAAGCTCCCCGCAAAGGTAGACTAGTGGTTAAATTGCAAAAGTGATTAAAGTTTGCAGGTGTTACATTTGAAAAAGGTGAAAAAGTTAAAGAAACAGGTTAAAGTCCTGTAAGGTAGAAAACACAACGAAAAAAAGTGATTAAAGTTCACAGTTGTTAAAGTTAAAAGAGGTGAAAATTTTAAAGAAACAAGTTAAAGTCCTGTAAGTTAGACAAACACAACGCAAAAAAATTAAACAGAATGTGTTCAGGACAGAGTAAAAGGGGAGATCCCAGAGGGGATGAAGAGTTTATGTATGATCCAAGAAATTTNAAGGTCATCATTTTATTTGTATTAACTTACAGACATTTGCCCGGCTAGGTGTCATGATTTTATCAAGAGCTCGAACCCACATGCAGATAAAGCAATCCAGAGAGACAAGGGAAAAGGTTTAACTTTAAATTTATTCTCAAACTTGAAGAGGAGGAAAGGTTGGCGCACTCACGTTTCCAGAGATTAGGTTTACTTTTAGACTCCAGTAGGTGAGGAATGTGTTCCGGTGTTTGTCTCATATGGAGGAGGGCGGACAGGGTTACCCAGAATGTGGTTGCTTGTAGATGAACAGAGAAAGACTGATAGCCACTCAATTTTCCTGCGTTACTTGAACAGACTGTTGTGCAGATTAATCCCTTGCTCAGTGTGAAGCTCAAACGTTTCCTCAGGGAAAAGTGGATCCAAACCTCCGGTTTGTATCCTCAGCTCAGTTTGAAGCTCAGTGATCCTTCCAGGGAGAGAAGGTCCAATAAACCCAGTTTGCAGGATGACTTCCTCAGCTTAGCTAGAGTATCCAAAACTGGCAAACACTCTGGCGTCGAGGTAGTGGCAGTCAGCAGCTTAAAAACACTCCGTTAACGAGGTAACCCCTTACAGGTGTGTGAGGAGGAGAATCAGAACCAGGCGCCGCCTGGTGGAGGAAGGAATACAAAAACACAGACCTCAAAGACTGGAGTCCTAACACTAGGAATGTTGTGTTGTTTTAAATTCAAACAGGGAGAGAAAATGTTACTCACAGGGAGATCAATACCCACGATAAAACTAAACAAGGAACTGTCATGCTTTATCATGTGTAATTTTCTGACCCCTCCTGATTCTCCTTTGAAATAAAAACATAAAAACAGAAGACAGAAATTTTCTTAAAGAGTTAACCACAGATATTCGGGGAGTGAAATGATCTGTCTGGGTGCGTTCTCTTCTGCAGAAGCATTTTTGTGTTGCTTCCTTTCTAGGATAAGGAGGCGTTATCAGTAACCCTAACAGCCTGGTGCCGTGAGCCAGATCCCAACATTTCAACTTGTTGACTAGTGGAGCAAAGCGCTGAAAACCACCGGTGGTCAGAGTCTAGGACCTGACGGGAAAGTCCTGGGGGATAACCTTCTCACTGGGGCAGGGTCATAGGTTACCTCCTTTCACCAACAAAGGATTGACAGGATCCGACCTGGAGAGAACCAACCAAACTAAGTAGATGTTAAGAAGGGCGGTCTGCAAAGGTAGACGGGTGATTAAAGCTCCCCGCAAAGGTAGACTAGTGGTTAAATTGCAAAAGTGATTAAAGTTTGCAGGTGTTACATTTGAAAAAGGTGAAAAAGTTAAAGAAACAGGTTAAAGTCCTGTAAGGTAGAAAACACAACGAAAAAAAGTGATTAAAGTTCACAGTTGTTAAAGTTAAAAGAGGTGAAAATTTTAAAGAAACAAGTTAAAGTCCTGTAAGTTAGACAAACACAACGCAAAAAAATTAAACAGAATGTGTTCAGGACAGAGTAAAAGGGGAGATCCCAGAGGGGATGAAGAGTTTATGTATGATCCAAGAAATTTTAAATACTTGCAGAAGTGGAAGGAAAGGTATAAAATAGATGGTGCATTGAATGCAGATCTTTGGAGTGTGCCAGCTTGAAACAAGCACTACGGCAAAAAATAGGAAATAAAAACACGAAAATGGGATCAAGATCAAATTCTGGACTCTTACATCAGGAGGTTGGGATATGTTGAACATTTTCAATATTTTGAAGGTGGACGACATGTACTGTAGATGTAGAGTACTTCACCCACGTCTTGGGGTTGTCCACATTCTATTTTCATAAAAAAATATCAATGTTTTTACCTCAATGTTTTCTACCTAAGGGAAATCTGGTGCTTTTTTTCAGATCATCTGAACAAAACCAAAATATAAACATTAAATGTCCTGTAATCCAATAATGCATTCAAGTACAGTGAAATATTTTCCACAAAGATCCCAAATGCAACCAAAGGATCTGAATGAGACCTTCAATCTAAAAAATGTCCACACCTTCAATCCCTGACAGTCTGAGATTTTTCTCCTCAGATATTAATTCTCCTTTTCATGGTTTGGACCATTGGATCGGTTTGTATCTTATAAAACTCTAATTAAAACACAAAAACATGCGTATAAAGTTTAATAAATGTGACCATTTTCATATAAATATCATCATCACACAATAATAGACATCCTGCAGTGTTAGAAATGAATTTATTATTATTGTTACCTGCATATTAATTCTATGACATTTAGTAGTTTGTTTGCTGTCACCAGTATTCAGCCAAATGGGAGAAGAAGCTCCTAAAGACAGTTATCACCTATGTGGCAGTAAAAGTTTAGCTCAACACATCTTTAAAACCTTAAACCTCAGTTTTACTTGTTGAAACCATTTCAGCCTTTAAATCAGCCACTGTTTTAGTATTGATTTAATTTCATTGTCCTTTTATTGTGAAATTCTGCTGGTGTTGCTCTCCATCCCTCCATCCTGTCTGCTCCCTCTTCTTCAGCATTTTCCTGCACTGCCCATAACTTTGAATCGTTACCACACCTAAATCCATCCACATTCACATTCAGACATGACTCTTCTGATTTTTCTTACATGTTTAACATCTCTTCTGCCCAAAGCACACCTCTAAATCTCCAGTTTTCATTTCTATTGCTTTCTGATTTCAGTGTAAACCACAATATCATCTGCAATCGTTAAAATTCAAGGAGGCCTAGACAGAACTGCAGAATTGTACTCAATCTGTAGCTTCCCCTTTTTATAGGAAGTTGTATTCTAACAAATCAAGATGGGACAAAATTCATCGGAACTACATTTAAATTGGTCTTTTCAGATTCTTCAGCCCCAATAAAGCTTCATGTCTCGAAGGTTTGTTTTTAAGAAACTTCCTCTTGAGCTAAGAGGAGGATGGGGGGACTTATTCTACTACTTACTGTACATTGACCATAAAGTTAAACTGTTTCATTCCAGCTGGATATTGATATTTAATTTTTTTTTCATAACAAACAAGCTCTGTCTCCAATTCATCACTTCCTACTCTGAGGTATTATCAACATGCTATAAGTGGTTAGTTTATTTTTCTTTCTTTTTTGTAGATAAAAATTAATTTTTCAGTTTTTAAATAGGCAGCAATCGTTATCTTATCTAATAGCTGCTCCCAATAGGATCTCACTCTGCAAACTGTGAAAAACTAAACTAAACGAAAGGAAACTATGAGTCATTTTGAGACCTTCAGGGGAAAAGAAGTAAAAATATCTGTTCCTCACATCCGCTTTTTCTTTCTGTAAAAACAAGGCATCTAAAAACAAGATACAACACTAAATGGAGGAGGAATTGGCCTAAAACAATAATCCTTCAATTATCATGTCAGTCTGTCCATCATGGGGATCTGGAGTCGCTCCTTTTTATGAGATCATTTTATTATGTATTCGATAGTTTCAGGAATTCATACATTTAACAAAACTTTATTCATAATCCTGACAGTTATATCAACAGCTGCTGTGCTTTAAGCTAAAACATGAATGCTAGAGCTCTGATGGCGGATCTGATCTTTATTTTTCTATATAGAGATAAAAACCTGAGCCTTCAGAGGCAAATGCTGCAGATGCATAAAATAGATGTCATTACTTTGAAAAAAACAGCAGACACAAGGACTTGGCAATAGTAAAAACAACTTCCTACAGTCAGACCACGTGTCAACAATCAAAAAAACAATCTCAAAATTAAACAAGGTTCTTCTGATCACTGCAGAAAAAAACACCATGCAGGTTAACAGGAGATGGGAAAGGGAAACAGGTTATAAGATTTCAGATAAAACAGAGACATTTGTATTTTCCAGTGGTCTTCCACTATTTCAACAGAACCATTTCTAAATAACGTGATATGATATATAAGCTAAGGGTCAAAGCTTGGCTTAGACCTACTTTAGTAGATATTAATCACACATCAGAAAAATTATTTAAACTAAAATTCCTCTTGATTTGAACTCTTTATCTTTGGAATGTGCAAGGGCTGACATAAAAGAGGAACATAAAGCTGCTGCATGTCTTCCTCACATCAAGTAGGACATTTTTAGACTATCAGATAGTTCAACCCAGCACCACGAAAGAAATATATGCATTTAAAAAGATTATAAACTCCTTACATTTCAGAAGGAAAAATTAAAGCAGATTCATACATATGTACATAACCTTACTTAGGGTAGACTTTTATTTTGTAATTTTGCAAGTATTCTTTTTTTTTTTTTACTTATGCTGAAATGTTTGATGCAGCTACCTGTAAGTTACCTCTGTTATACCTTATTTTAGGCATGTAGTTGAATCTGTACTGAAATGTTAATATTTTGGGACAATTTTGTAGTTTAAAAATGCTCTGAAGTGAAGTAATTGGATGAGACAGAATTTTATGTGAGTTCAAACGATTTTGTGAGAAATAATTTGGATACTGGCATAAAGACATGACCCTAAAAGGTCTGTTTTGGTTGAACTGTAAAGTGCCTTGAGACGACTTGTGTTGTGAATTGGCTCTATAAAAAAAAAACTGAATTGAATTAAATTGAATTTTGGTAGGACAGATGCTAAACTGACTGAAATATTTAAAAAGGGCCTCAGTTAGCCCTCTCAGGAGGACACAAGGGTGTTTCCTTTTATTTATAATTTGTAGGTCGATGTGTATACTTGTAAAAAATGACACTGAAATATGGTTTCCAAATAAAAATAAAATTATGAAAAAAAGAACCAGTATTTCTAAGGCTTCTGAAGTGGACCGAGACCATTTTCTAAACCGGTGTAGGTACCAGATTGACTCGGGGGCCTGCGCCTTTTGATGA